GGGGGGGGGGGGGGGGGGGTCTGTGCGTGCCTGCATGTATGCCTGTGTGTTCTACCTCTCGCTCTCCTGACGATGACGAATTGTCGTGCTCGGAGTTTGGAAGAGGAATCTCGTTGCGGTTCTTACACTGTGTTCACGTGAGATCTGTGGGCAGTTTGCACATGCCGTCAGGAAGTCGGCTTCGCTACCCCTGCAGTCGATCTGCTTGGACATGCAGACGGTGTGGAGGGGTTCAAAGAGAGTTTTCCTCGTAGAAGAGGACAAATGCAGCGGGTAGAAACGGTCAATCGGAGTGACACGTGGCAAAGCGGAAATGGGAAATACCAAATCTGGTGCACATGCTATCAGGAAGTCGGCTTCGCTATCCCCTGCACTGGGAATAGCAGTTGATCTGCTCGGACAAGCAGACGGTGTAACCACTACTTTTATTATATAACTGTATCACCAGATGTGGCATTTCCTATTTCCGCTTTGCCACGTGTCACTTCGACTGACCGTTTCTACCCGCCGCATTTGTCCTCTTCTATAGAGGAAAACTCTTCTTGAACCCCTCCCCTCAACCCCCCTCCTCCCGCCCACAACCTCTCCGTCTTTTCTCGTCCACGATGATTATCTAAGCTCTGGTGGCCAAATCAGGATCCAACCCATGACTTTCTCCGCCGCTTAGCGAGTGTCGGTGTTCGAACACCTTACTTGTCAGTCACACCGTACAGGTGCACAAAATTCAGCATTCAACATGCAGCCAGATACTCGCTGACGACGACACAAGATAAGACCTGCCCTAGTCAGCATCTGCTGAGATTCGGCCTTTTGTTAGAAAGAAAAAAGCCGTCTCCCGGTTCGCCACGTCACGCCCTAAGTCAGGGCATGATCAGAGCAAACTCATGCATGACCACAATAAAAAGGGAGTACCATTCAGTCAGATGGGCATCCCATAGTAATAGTCAATCCTCGCTTCATCTTTGATATTTGAATACATGATGATGACGGCCATTTGCTGCGAACCCGAAGGGTACAACGTGGCGTTTTCGCGCTTCTGATCGAACGGCCCAACCTAGCCACGCCCCGAAAGGAGGAAAGGGGGAAGCCCGATAGAATGTCTGCGACGTTGGAGAGCTCCCCAGCAGCCAAGGGGTTCAGTCATTATGCTATGCGCATAGATACGCCCACATTCGCACACAGCACAAGTGCCTTGCATTCCTAAGGCCATCCGCGCATTGCCACTTCCCGGACTTGAATCTGGTTGGTTTTACGGGCAGATACGTCCAGTAAAAGTCCCTGAGGAAGGACAATCACCTTCCAGAATGCCACGTATGCGCTACGTGAACTCTCAATGCTGTACCACCTGATATATACAGTATCGTAGTCCACACATGGCGTATGCTTAGCACACAAATAGTGTATTCATAGTACACGCACAGTATATATTTAGTGTAGAAATGGTATACACATAACATAAAGGTTATACATCGTACCATACACAGGCAACAACGCTGGATTCCAACCAACGACCAAATCGATGAAGTACATGCATCGCCTACATACATTGTAAGAAAACCATTGACAAAGAGGAGGGCATATGTGAAATGAAATTAAGAACACAGAGAGAGAGAGAGAGAGATGAAGAGAGAGAGAGAGAGAGAGAGAGAGAGAGAGGAGATCAGATTAAAAGCAAGCAATGATAGCACCCTCTCTATTTCGAAAGTTGATGGGTGTACCAACTGAGCTAGGCCAGTCGGTGATGTTACTCTCTTTTACTTCGTCTTTTCCATTTACTTCACTTTTTTTATGTTTTTAATAGCTGGGAAACGGGCCGGCGTCCCTCGCAAAAGGAAGACGATCCCAGGTCGTGAGGCTGTGTAACGACTCAAGGGAGAAACCGCTGTTAAATCTTTGCATTTTCTTGATTCTTATTTCTTTTTTTCCCTTTCTTCCTTCTTTCCTTTTTTTTCCCTTTTTTTTTCTCCCTTTCTCCTCTTTTTCCCCTTTTCGTTCCTTTCCGCAGCTTTTTCTCTTTTCTAAGGTACAAGGGGGTGACACGTAGTACGCTTACTACAACACGGCGTAACTACACTGAACATATAAGCGTACACACATCATGCCCGGTGAACCACTGGTAGAAAGGGAGAACAGGACCCAACGACAATCGGGCTATGACTTACAATACACATAGAACGCATTCTAAGTACACACAGAGAACAGATTAACTTCCCGCAGATAGTGCAAAAGCGCATAGTACCCATCTCCCCCCGAGCACAACGCACCCTCATCACGACCTTACTGGAGCGGAAMGATAGCTTGTATATGCATTCGCGATCCCTGTGTTCACACAGAGAACAGATTAACTTCCCGCAGATAGTGCAAAAGCGCATAGTACCCATCTCCCCCCGAGCACAACGCACACTCATCACGACCTTACGGGAGCGGAACGATAGCTTGTATATGCATTCGCGATCCCTGTGTTCAGGACACATTCACATGATCACGTTCATTCGGGACATACTGATGAACAGGGGAGGGGTCGTTGTGATCGGGAGAAGATGGTAAGATTCCTCACGCACCTGTAGGAGGAGCTTCACCCTGTCCAAAGGAGCCGTCAGAGTCTTAGCAAACGCGCCTGCGAAAGCTCCCGCCAGAAAGAGGGCAGCGTTCTTGGGTACGTAGTGCAAGAGCGCAAGCGGGTGACAAACTAACTGACCCACGCTTGGAGGAGCCATTCTGGTCGCACGATGGGCAAAGGAAGACTTCTCAGAGGCGGCCCTGCGTTGCTGCCATTGGGCCCCCTGACGAGCGAAGACCGCGGTAGAGGAGGCAAACGCCGCATCGTCCACGGTAAAGAGCTGTGGCACACGTGTCGGCAGGGTATCAGATTCCCGTTCATCACACTGCTGAACCGCAATCGCTTCAGCTGACCAGACAGGGCAGGGGAATGTGCCACGTCTCGGCAAGATCTCAGATTGCCGTTCATCGCTCTGCTGATCAGCGGCCATCGCCATTGCTCGCCGGAGAGGTCGTGAGGCGGCATCAGATTGCCGTTCATCACTCTGCTGATCACTTGACATCGCCATAGCTCGCCAGAGAGGCCATGATAACGTGCCACGTGTCCGCAGAAGACTAGATTGTTGTTCATCGCTCTGCTGATCACCCGTCATCGCCCTAGCTCGCCAGGAGAATGATAGTGATGGACTTCTTCTTCCTTCAAGCCTTTTTCTCCTGAGTAAGCGTCGTTCAGCCCCCGAGTAGCTATTGGCTCCGGATCCTGCTCCGCCCAGCATCGAATCCTTTGACAACCCACCCTCACTTCCCTGCTCTCCGCTCGCCCCTTCGACATCGCAGCCACCAGCCCTTGACAGGTGGGAGATCACCTTCACGCACTCGCCCCAGCCAAAGAGAAACGCCCCGCTAAAGACATTCCCTTTCGAACGGGTGGATGGCCGGACGATGGCCCGCGCTACATCCGCTTTCCCCAGGGAAGCTAAAAAACACGAATCCGTCGACTGGTCATCCTCCATCCTGGAATGCCAATAGGATACGTGGCAACTCGAAGCTTGCGCGATGGTTGGCGACGACGATGACGACGAATGCCATGGCTTCTGAGCCGTCCTCACCTTGCTCCTGGATGAGGATGAGGACCAAGGTGCGGACGACGATAACGATGCTGAAGATGATGACGATGATGGCCCGGAGGAGGCCGGAGAAGCCATGAAGATCATGGCGCTGGAATCGCCATTGCCGTGGACGCTTCCGTTCACTTCGAATTCGATGGTTGCACTAACAGCATGGGAGAAGTGTATGTTTTTTCTCCGCGCCCGCGTGGCAGATGACGAGGTGACAAAGTCAGGTTCCACGTCGGCTTCTACGCGACAAGTCCCCAGCAGGAGCCGCCCAAACTCGATTGTCGCACGTGCTGTGTTACCGCGCATGCAATCCAAAGGACGAGGATGAGGAGGACGAGACCGGGGGGGAAGGAGGAGAAGCGAGTTCGCCGTTTGGCAGCAGGACAGTCAGCACATTCATAGCGACGACAACGACACCCATCGTCGTGAGGTGCATTCACCAGCCATATCCTTAGCTGAACCAGACTGCAACTGCAACCCCTCCGAGCGACTGGGGCATGGGATTTGGCTGAACCGAACGGCAACCTCAACAACGCCCAACGAGGGGCGTCCTCCACGGGCGCTGTGTTCCGCCGAAATTCGGACGGTAACAATGCGGAATGTGAAAACATTTGAAAAGTTGGCGGGCTGCGCGCTTACACCTAAACCCGTTCCTTTATCTTCACACTGTCCCATTCGCCCTACCATCTCGAGTTTGCCCCTGACCAACGGGCTTGGCTCAGTTGGTACACCCATGGACTATTGAAATGCCGACCTGAGTTGGAATCGAGATGGAACCCGATGAAAGAGATTCCGGAATCAAACCTGGACCCCACAGGTTTGCGGATGGAGAAGTTATTTTCTCGTCATACAACCATGAACTGTTCCATCCCAATTAGGTCTGAACCGCACAGAAACTCCTGAATTAGACCTGGACCGCACAGCTTTGCAGACGGAAAAGTTCTTTTCCCAAGAGAAGCGGGCAAAGAATTTTGGAAAGTCAGAGAAAAAGATGGTTTTGCGGGGATCCCACAGCCGACTGTGTTTTGCGGCAGACCCAGAGCACTTTTTTCCGTGAAAGGAAAGGTGGCTGGCGACTGACCTAAAAAGGAATGCGGGGAAGTGTCCGTCTGGTTTCCCAAGGACTGTAGGATGGCCGGGCCCACGCAGCGGGTGACATTGAGCGGCGCGCGGGTGACACCGTGCTACAGGCAAAGCACCAGGGATGCTATGGGCCATGAGGCGGTGAGGTGTGGCCGCATGTGGAACCCGGTACCGTCAACAATGACCATTATCTCCAGTGTGCCGATGGCTTAGTTCGCAGCCCGTCAGGGTTGCATTTTATGCCCCTGAGACATTTTTTGTCGTCGTTCGTTATACCGGTCGTTCATTCGGGCCCATTGGTCGTTGAAAGGCTGGTAAAATGAAAGGCACGGGCATTTGGGGGGGGGCGGCAGTTCAAGCAAATGCAGGACCGGTATTTGCCTGTGGCATTTTCCTGGGAACCGGTAGGTGGCCGTGGTCCAAAATATTTTGAAACGG